GGTCCCTTCCGACCCTAGAAACTATGAAACTATGGATAACTGTCAAGCAACTATGTAGTAGGCATCTGTTCAAAGTATGGGGAATGACATAATAACAGGTGTTAGATGGAATATGGGAAGAGTAAGAGATGGAAGAGGAAAAGATTACATAAAATAATCTTTAATCTTAAAAGGTAATAGTGTGTCTCAGTAAATATATATTGCATATAAAGTATCAATCAAATTACTTTAAATGATTTCTTTTTTTCTTTCTTTTTTTTTTTTTTTTTTTTTTAAAGCATGGCTCCAGTTATGAAAACAAAGAAAGCTACAGCTCTCGCCAAAGAAGTGCCTCTCCAGAAGATAGGTAAAAATTATTCATTTAGTAGTTCTTTAATGGTAAATAAAATTCTGTGTTAACTTTATCCACATAAAATTAGATAAATAAAACTTAAATGTGTTTTGTTACATATTTTTTATTTATTAATGAAATGGGAAACAGCAGTTGTTGATGCAGCAAGTGTCTGTGTGTGGGGGGATTTGTAATTAAATATTTTTAAATGAAGAAATCATGCCTAATAATTTTAAAACATTAAATACTGAAAATATTTTAAATGGAAAATAGATTTCAGTCTCTTGCTTGAGGTCCCTATGTTACTGTGCCAATTTTTATTTTATAGCAAGATTATGAATCCCAGTGGGAGACTTAAATGCCATTTCATGTTCAGTCTACCATTTATATAAGGCAGGAGATGCATTCTTGGTAATTTTCTTTTAATTTCACATTTTATTTGCAGTAAATCCAGTACAAGAGTGTTTAAAACAATTATGCCAATGTATATTATGTTTAGCAGCCTCACCAAACTAAATTAAGTGAACGCGCTTTCATTCAGCAGATCATAAATTTTCTTTTTGCTACAATTCCTTAGGATTACTCTATTATTAAAGAAATGTTTATTGATTTTTTTCCCCCCCCCAGCAGCATAGGGTTTATAAAGTATATGTTTTCCACCTTGTATTCAAGGTGGAAAGTACACACTTCAAATCAATAGTGAAATAAAAATCAAAAGTATTCTGCCTATGTGTATAAAATACTATACTCTCTTTGTATAGTTAATAGTGAAATGCAAGTCATTGATGGAAAAATGTGACCTGTCAACATTTCAAATATTTGTAAGTTTGCAACAAGGAACAACTACTAAATATACATCAGGTGGCTAGTACAGCACTTATAAATCAGAGGTGAAATAAAAATATACTAAAGACTTGTGTTTGTGATTTGGGGATAGATCTGAAGAGGGTGAGCGGTACTCCAGAGACAGAGGTTACTCTGATGGCAAGTATGATAAAGAAGATGCAGGAAGAGGACATGATCACAAAACTTATGAAACAAGGTTAGCATCAGTATTTCTGAAATGGAAAATTGTAGTCATGCTGGTTAATATAGCTCTTGATAGTTACTGTTTCAGTTGACAACAAAACCATTACTCCAAAATCTGGTATCTTGACTTTTAGGAGCGGGGAGAGAGAGAAGCATCAAGAGAAGAGGGCAGACAGGGATTCTGATCGGAGGAAACAGCGAAAATTACCTTCACCTGATAGAAAAAGTCCAGAAAGATCATCATCCCAGAACTCATTTGTTCAAAATGAACCCCCTTCAAAGAAGAGGAAGGAAGATTTGGATCCAATTCTCACCCGTACAGGTGGAGCATACATTCCTCCAGCAAAGCTGAAGATGATGCAAGAACAAATTACTGATAAGAATAGGCAAGTCAAATTAAAATTTCACAGTTAACAATATTTATTGAAGAAGGAAAGCACAAAAAAGCAAAACTAAAGTATGCTACAAGAGACCAAGATTTGGAACGTAAATTGATGTAATAACTATTCATTAGAAGCTGTCTTTTCCTTTACCTGATATATTCTTAGAAATATATCTTCTCCTTTATCTGACATATTCAATAAGCGGGGGGGGCACAGAGGAGGGAGTTGGGCAGGGCTGGGGCTGCTACCCAGCTGGGTCATGTGTGGGGGTTGGGGCCCAGCAGGACTGTAATATGTGATGGTAGGGCCCCAGCAGGGAGCAGGATGGGGCTCTGGGCAGTTTGTCTGGAAGGCGGGGGGAGAGAGGCTGGCTTCCAACCACTAAGCACATTCCTGGGGGTTGGGAGGACCTGTGCCCCCCAGATCTATGCACGGGGTGGAGGCAGGTGCAGGCTGCCTGCTGTGAGCTTGGGCTCCTGCCCTGCTGCTCTCCTCCTGGGCCTCTGCGGCCTGGCGGGTGCAACCCAGTGCTGAAGGGCACAGCAGGGCTGAGGAGGCTCCTTGCCTCCGCGAGCTCTGTGCTGCCCTGGCCACGTACTCCTTGCATGCACAGCAGCAGAGCGGGTGGCAGCTCAGGGGTGTGCCCCCTGCTGCAGTCCTGCATGTAGGGGATGCATTGCTAGGGCAGCGCAGAGCTTGCAGTGGCAAGCAGCTTTCCTGTGTGGCCCCCACTCTGCCCTGCAGTAACGGGTTGCACCCACTGGGCCGTGGAGACCCCAGGAGAAGGCAACGGGGGGAAGTCTGAGCCTGCAACAGGCAGCCTGCACACAGATCTGGGGGGCATGGGTCTCCCCTGACCCCCCCTGGGAGTGTGTGCAGTGGTGGGGAGCTGCCCCCTCCACCCACAGAAGGCAGGTAGCAGCAGGGAGCCAGGCTCTGCTCTGCTGCAGCAGCTGCCGACTCCAGCTGAGGGCAGTGGACTGTGGCCCCATATCCCTGGCAGCTGGGGGCCCCCTCTGGCAGGGCTGGGGGTGGAACCAGGGGACAGTGGGGTGGAGTAAGGGTCACCAGCAGGCCAGGGGGTGGGGAGAAGTTTGGTAAATCAGGGGGAGGAACAAGGGTCCTTTCATTTTAATCATGGATTTGGGGGTTTTAATCAGAGAATTTGCAATTTTTTTTTTTTAATGGGGGAAAACCCGGATCCCTGTTGATCAGTACAATTGTGAAATCAAAACTGGGGAAGATTAAATATGTTATAAGCACTGGTGTTTTGGGCTGTAGTGAAATTAAATTAGTAGTAAACATTTATGGTACCTCAGATTTAGTGATATTAGTAATTTTATGATGTTTTCATAATAGCTTAGCATATCAAAGGATGAGCTGGGAAGCCCTGAAGAAGTCAATCAATGGTCTTGTCAATAAGATCAACGTTTCTAATATAGAAAATATTATCTATGAACTTCTTCAAGAAAATATTGTGAGAGGAAGGTAAGCTTCAGATGATTTATTCAATAAATAGTTAAGCATTTCTGTTTTCATTTGTCTCCACATATGCTTGCAATTAGAAAGCTATAATAGTCTTTTTAGTCCTTTATGCTTTCTCTGCAAAAACGTTGAATTGTTTTTTTATTCTGTTATTTTCCTGTTAAGTCCGTTTGAATGTGTGTGAACACTTGTATTTTTATTTTTGCTTATTTTACATCTTATTTTCAAAGAAGAAATAAATTATAACATACAAAAGAAAAGATTATAAAATAGGAAAAAATAAATCCTCAAATACTTAGGAAAGAAAAATATGTTAGTTCTGTAATAATTGCACACTCTTCTTCTGAAGATTGGTATTACCCAGTGATTCTCAGCTAGGGTGATGTGGCACCCTGAGGTGCTGTCAGATCCTTTTGAAAGTGTGAGGAAGTAAGCAGATAAGCACAGTCTGAGGCTGCAGCTCAGGCTGATTACCCCACTGCCTTTGCAGGGAGATAAGAACTGCAATATATATGTTCGTTTTTCAAATTGGGTACCACTTAATTCACAAAAGTTATGGAGGGGTGCCTGGAGTCCAAAAAGTTGAAAACCACTAGTATATCCATTAAAGTTATACGACTAGAATTTATCTGTTGGGTTTTTTTAATCTGTATATAGCAGGGCATACTCTCTGGCCGTGAGAGTAGGACAGCCAACCTTGGGGTAGCTGGTAGGGGAGTGCGAAGCTTCAATCCCTGACTCGCTTGGGAGAAGATTTGGCCTGATTCGGAGGCCAAATCACCAAATCTGAATTGAATCAGGAGACCAAAAAAAACCTGCAAATCAATTTGGCAAAGATTTGAAAGGCAGTCCTTTCTGGGGAACAGAAATTGAGAGGGGGATAGGGGTCTGCTATCTGTAGCTCACCAGTGACTGTGATCTTTCCCTGAGTCCCCTTCCAGTCACAGTGCTCTGGGGGAAGGGCATAGAAACAGCATATAAGCCTCTGTCTGCAGCCTTTCTGTCCCTTTTTTGAGCTGTTCCTGCCTGAGCAAAAGAGGGGCGAGCAGCTGGTCCAGAAACAGGTGGACAGACAGAGATCTAACCAGCACCGACCTAACTATCCCTACTGTTTTCATCCAAATTTTCCAAAAAAATGACAGTTACAGGTATTTCAGTGATTTTCCCCCCCCCCCCCCCTTTTTTTTTTTTTTG